AAATAACTTTTTTTCTGTGATTCACCTGAATTCCTCAAGTTCGTACCAGCATTTCTAAGGTAACTTCTAATGTTTAGGACACTTGAGTATAAATCTGGGGGGGTGTTTTGTTACAAAGTATTTTACTTTGAAAACTTAAACTTCTTCCTTTGAATATTAATGAAAATTATCTTTTAAATGTTAATGTCCTTAAAACTTTTATAAGTCAGTCAACAGTTGTAAGACTAAAAAGTACTTTATTGAAAAAACATGAAGTTTTCTTTTTGCTTTATTCTTCAATAAAAGACAACTCTGAAATTAAGTTTTGGATGTTAGCTGAAACAACCAAGCTAATCAAAACATCCAGGAAAGTATAAAGGATAAAAAATAGCAGTGAAGAAGACATTAGTACCTATCAAACTTCTTTTAATATCATTTAGGAACATCGCAATCTTAATAAACATTAAAATTCTCAGCAAAACCGGTTCTAAATAAAAAGGGACACCTTAAACAACAATGAATAGAATTAAATTTCATGGTTTACTTCTAGGACCAATTTAATTCCTTATGAATAATGCCACATATTAATGAAACCTCTTTTAACAAACTAGGTCACTCAAAACATTCAGAAAATAGAATATTTTTAGTATTTCTCCATTTATAATAGAAGCAGAATTACCTAAATGTATAGATGATGTCATCTTTGGACAACTCGGTGAGTAATAGATAAGCTGGGTAAACAGAACCAGCAGATCCGTGAGGGTTACCAAATCTTCAAAAAGGAAGGAAAAAAAGTTACATTCTAGCATGTGTACAACTTAGAAAAACTTAACAGAGCTTCCATCCTCCTATATTAGTTTTCGTAGAGACTGTGGTACAATTACGGTGAAGGGGGCTATAATACAAGACAGAAGATTCCCGAAAAACAAATTAGAGATAGTTAAAAGACAGTAAGGCAAGTGATGCAACAGGTGCTGTGTAAAGGTGTAGTTTTACCATGTATGTTGAACCAGTCACTTAAGATAAACCTACCTTAGGAACATCTATGAATCTGATCAGGGCTGTTTGACTTTATTCAATGAGAAACAGTAAAATTCAGCTTAATATGTTGGTCCAGCTCACTCATCCATATAGCACTGTAGAACACAGGTCAGCAAACTTTTTCTTAATCAGATAGTGAACAGTGTAGGCTTTGTGGCCAGTCTCTTTCACAAATACTCAACCCTGCTGTTGAAGCACTAAGGTAGCAATAGACAAGGTGCGAGTGAATGAGTGTGGCTGTTTTCCAATTAAAGTTTATGTATGCTAAAATTTGATTTTTATATATTTTTCATGTCACATAAGTTTTTCCCAATAATTTAAGAACATACAAGCCAATCTTATAAACCATACAGAATAGTGTATCAGATTTGGCCTGTAGGCTGTAGTTTATCAACACCTGCTATAGAAGCTTACATAAAAAATTTCTGGTGAGGGCACATGTGAAACTTAAAAGTGAATGCTGACCTACTAACACAGTAGAATAGACCTCTCAAGTTTTGAGATGACCAGTTATCTGATAGGCCAAATGTAGGTGTCAAAAGTCAATTAAAGTGCTAAATAAGTTAGATGACAGACATATAAATTTAAGTTGAATACCTGAAACATCACAAGTATATGTTAATCTTTCTATTTCTATAAAGTTCAGAATAACCCATAAGATGGTAGCTCTTTTCTTGAAAGCCATTTCTCTGAGCGCCCATTATACCTAGGATTATGTGGCAGTACCATGGGAAATAAAAATACCTAAAGCACTTTTTCTCTAGGAGCCCACAATCAACTTAACCAAGGAGATAAGGTTTAAGTAAAACTAGGAAACAGTATAAAATGTTCAAAATGAAGACGCTTTATAACAGGACTGGGAAACTAGAGCCATCATATCCTGGTTTTGTAAGGTTTACAAGCTAAGAATGGTTTTTCCATTTTTAAAAGATTTGTAAGGGGAGAAGGGTATAGCTCAGTGGTAGAGTGCATGCTTAGCATGCATGAGGTCCTGGTACAATCCCCAGTACTTCCATCAAGTAAATCAATAAGTAAATTTAATAACCTCCCCTCTCAAAAAAAAAGAAAAGAAAAAAGTGTATAATGTATCAGGGTCCTCAAGACCATGGCCAGATTCACTGATTCCCGAGGGAAACTAATAGAATTGAACACATAATAGTACTCCCAACTATGATTTATTACAACAAAAGGATGCAAAAGCAAAAATCAAAGGGAAAAGACATGTAAGGTGAAGTCCAGAGCAAACCAGGTAACACTATCCAAGGGTCCTTCCTCTCCCAGAAGAATCAGACGTGACAACACGTGTGAAATGTTATCTACCAAGGAAGCTCACTAGAGACTCAATGTGCAAAGTTTTTACTGGAGGCTGATCATGTAAGCACCCTCTAGCCAACAAACACCAGAATTTCAGACTCCCAGAAGGAAAGCAGCTTTTCAGCATAAAATACATTATTTGTATTAACATTTTAGGCACAGTGAGCCACTCTTATTAGTTCTGGAAATAGTGAAAAAACCAAGGTCCAACCCTGCAAACAGGCCTTCCTAAACAGTCTCTGACCTAACGTGTTAACTTTTTTGCACAGATGCGTATGCATGGGTGAACATACACACACACACAGAGAATATGCAGCAGAGACAGTAAGTGGCCCAAAAAGCCCAAAACATCTACTTTCTGGCACTTTTACAAAAAGTTTGCTGATCTCTACACTACATTCCTAACATAGACAAAGTTTTAACGGAGGTAAGGAAAAGAAGTAACAGCATGTGAAGTTTGAAGGAGAAAACTTTAAAAGTGGGAATTATGGCAACAATAATATAATAATATATCAAATGATAAAGGGCTTTGAAGTTTATAAATCACTATTCCCAACCTCATCTCTTTGATCATCTCAAAAATTCCCTGAGTCCAGCAATGATACTATTCTATTCTTACAGATAAAGAAGTTGAAACAATAAAGTGATTTGCCCAAAAGATTACAGCTAGTGTTTAGGGGAACCAGGACTTTGACAAGGACTTCCAGTTCTAGCTCCAGTATGTCTAGGATTTGGAAAGGCAGAGGGAAAATATGGAAAATATTAAAGGCAGGGGAAATAGAAAGAATATACATGTAGGAAGAAGTACATAACTGAAAAAAAATTTAAAGTACACTCTTCAAGGTATGTAAGCCTGTCAGCAGACCAAAAGGTATATACTGCTTAGTACCCTAGGAGAGACCAAGCCAAACCTCCATCTGTAATGATCCACAGCACAAATTTTACCATACCTGAACACACTCACGTCTCCTAATTGCACTTACCTTTCCTATTCTTCAGCTTTATAGGAAATAACTTCCTGCCTTGTGTATAGATCAATAATCTTCCTAAAAGGCACAGTGAGTGAATGAAATAAATATACTGTAATTCTTGTCCTGAGTAGTAGAAAGTTTTCTGCTTGTTCCCTTAAAAGAGAAACAATTACATTTATTTTAATGGCATTATATTTTATAGTACCTGTCTTCATTCCCTTCTGAACATTAAACAAGGTTGCAGTCTGTAATGGAGACACTTGGTATAAATTAACGGGAAAAAAAATACTTTACTGCTTCCCAAGATACTTCAACACACCTAAATCTCTGAGGAAAAGCATTCACTGTAAAATTTAATAAGCCTTAGAAAAGTATAATAGACATACAGTGTTCATTCTAAAACAAATACTGTAAGATTGTTAGTTACTTGTCATTGCAAAGAAGGACTTCAATTTAAGGAGGAAAGGAAGTCAATGGAAAACATTAGTTACTGCTTAATTCTACCAGTTAAAAGCCAGTACTACAAAAGATCATATTTATAACCATGTTTACAAATGAAATTAGAATCTCTAAAATATACACACCTTCTAATATACATCATTCATTCACTCATTCATCTGTACATTCAAGATCTACTGAGTACCTATCTTGTATAAGACCCTGAACTATTTACTGGTGTCAAAAACCAAGAAGCATGAAACTGGGCTTCCAATTCAAGAGTATAGCAAATAGCCTGTTATGAAGAGAGTATGGGAGGGATAAGTAGGAGAAACAAGAGACTAGAGGGCAGCAGTGGCAGATCACAGAGGATTTAGCTGCAGAAGGAATACGGGCTTTATTATAGAGGCAACTGGGATGTTATTAAAGGGTTTTAAGCAGGAAAAGTAATCAAATATGCATGTGGAAAACAGCAATAAAAATTCAGAGTAAGCAGAGCAGTCCTTTTGAAAATTTTAAAATAAAGTTTATTCTTTTACAGTAAGATTTATATTTGTGCTCAGGATTGTGACTAGGGGCCGTAGGAGCAGGGATAACAAAGGTATACAGGCACTGGTATGTCTTCTAAGAGAAGATTCACATTAATCAATAATAGACATAAGATTGGATAGAGATGTTAGGGCCAGATTAAGAAACATTTAGGATTATTTTAGCTCAGACTGAGGATAAGCAGAGAAGAATCACAAGGTGGGGTGAAGTGTCTAGCAACAACAGTATTTTATAGAAATGTTCTTCCCTCTAAAATACATAAATGTCTGATACACTGTTCATCCTTTCCTCCTCTAGAGTGTTACTGCAGTATAACAGACGAGGACATACACCCTGGTTTGAACTGAAGAACTGCAGAAGGTAAGAATTACCATAATAATTTCAAGTGCAGAGCTGATATAAAAAGTCATCATTATAGTATAGCTTAAATTTGTGGAAAGCATTTTACATTATCAAAAGCAATCTAATTTATCACACTATTTAAAAATAAAAGATACTACTAAGTTATTTTTGATTAATAAAATGTATCATTTTTAAAATGTTAACAGAACATAGTACTCACCATGAGGCTTTGAATGTCCCAAAGCCTCATCAGCTTTCATGGTTTCACACAACTCGAAGTACTGAACACACTGCTGAACTGCTGTAGTTATCTACCAAAATAATAACAGCTTATTAATTCTGGAAGTTTGCAGCCCACAAGTCCATGTATTAAAAGAAGTGAATCAAGGCTGCAAATATGCTGGGAAAGCACGTAAGAAAAATACTGAGAATATTAGAATAGCACCTTTCCAGGCCATTGAAGCTCAGCCTCCCCAGCTACATTTTAAATTTAACTATGGCATCATTCTGGAAAATACTGAAAATACCTGTAGACCAACAAATACAGTATTGTTATAACGTTGGTGTCAAGATGAAAATGCACATGTACATCTTATAGTGAAAGATGCAAAAATTCTGGCCATGACATTAAAAATTCTCTTGCTAGTATCCCCAGTTCCCTTGTCTAAGATTCTTTTCTTTCTAACTTAGCCAGAGAAACATGCACTGGATCTAGCCTTTATTTCCATCTCAATTTACCAGAATTGCTAAAAACTGATATGGAAAAATCTCAATTCAAAGTTCAGATCTCCAACTACTATACCCAGTGATTCTCCAATAGTCTTTATTCTACCTCCTTCTCCCGTCCTCCACAAGCAGAGATCTCCCTTTCCTCTGCACCTACATACTTCCTGTAGATGCCCTCTCATCCTAACTCTCAAATAAAATATAGGCCATCTGTGAGATGAGGAATGATAATTGTTAGATTTGGTTATAAGGCTATTTTTGGTAACCTTGAAAAGATCAGTTTCAGGGAAGGTTGGGGAATAAAACCAAACTACAAGGAAAAGGAATAGGAACTGAAAAAGTAAAGGCTAGCTGTATAATTTTCATTTTCAGGAAGGCTGGCCATGGGAAAAATTAATTAAAATAGGGGTGGGATCTTAGAGTCAAGAATGAATTCTTTTTCAGGTTAGAAGGGTATGGTTATGCTTAAGAATGAAGCAAACAGGTCAGCTGGCACAGATGCAATTGAAAGCATCTAAGAACTCTCCAAAAAACATCATTACTTAATATTAGCTTTCAGGGAACTGATTTTCAGGAAATTTCCCTAATGCTAATTCACATTTCTCTTAGCAATCCATGTCCAATCATATAAAATATGTGCAGTTTCCAAGTAGACTATGTGTTTTCCCATCTCTAAAGCCTTTAAACATGTTACTCCACGGCCCTGAAATATTTTCTCACTTAATCACATCCCCCCGCTTTTCCAGAATAACACCTATTCACTAATAAAAAATTCCCCACAATCCTCGGAAATGAGCAACTGTTCTATAGATAAAAACTAGAACCATATTTGTATATAACCATGGTGTCAGGTATCTAGAACAAGTTTAAAACCTTGTAAATCAATACAATCAACAGATCTCAATGAATATACTTCTGAAGTAAACCAGTCAGTTAGCTCCTTTCTTCTAAAAGTCAGCCAACAACAGAAAAATTCTGGGAAATCTGCAGTTGGCATGAACTCACTCTCACCTCTGAGAGACCATCCATCCCTCAGTTCCAAGTTTTCCCAAAACCCTGTATTAACAATGTTTTGCCTAATTAAGCAACAGATTTAGCTTCATACATTGTTTCAGATACTGAACAGCAGTCTTAATCCTCAACAATTCTGCAGCTTCCATAAAGATTACCTTAAGGACTCTCACTTGGCATCACTCTACAGGATCCTCAAAGAAGAGTGTTCACTGGGCCCCGGAGTCCCAAACTTGATAGTCCTTCAGATTTACTACCACGTGAGTCTGTCTCAACAATGATCTGAGCTCCAACTTGTTTTTTTGAGCTTTCATCGCTGTAGTTTATCATCCTCAGATCTGTATTAAAATACATCTTTGTACAAACTAGCCTTCTGTTTTGGAGAAGCACCATTTGGTCAATATTTTTGCTATTAACCTACTTGTCCTGCCTGCACTTATTTTGTAACTTGTACTGACTCTTAACTCCTGTTTTGCTTTGGTTTAGCTTACATCTTCTGAATATATAAAGGCATGCTTATAGGAAACAGAAGCAGGCATAGTCCAACAATCTCTACTCTACTCTACTCCAGTCAATCCAATCCAAGTCAACCCTGAGAGGAGTGGCTACCAGCAACAAACTTATGCAAAGGCAATTGGTCAAAATGCCCTGAGACACCTACAGAAATTTCATGAGGACATTCCCTGACTTGTCAATTCTTCAAAGAGTGGAATCAATGATTATCATGTCACCAATCATACACCCCTCTCCTAGCTTCTGCTTACTCAGAATCTGAGACACACCATTCGTAAGCACACACTTTTATCCTGAAGTATAGTGATCTGTTTCATGTTTGTCATGAGTTTCTCTTACAACCTATTCTTGACAGAACTACTTCCTAAATGAACTTACTTGTAAAATCCTAATTCTTACACATATGTTGGTAAACAGGAATAATAAAAAATGACTGAGAACAACTGCCATTATGAGGAACTTCTGACATGACAAATATAACATTCTTGAGAGTCTCTAAAGAAGTAACAGACAAAAGAACAAAGAATACTCAGCTCCTCTGAGAACTCACAGTACTATCTCCAACATACTCTCTTTCAGACACTCTTCAGTCCACTTCCAAACCTTCAGAAACCCATTCTTCCTTGAACTCATCTCCACCCACCTTTATCTTCACCATTCACTTAAACTCACTTCTGCTCCTTCTACTCCTTCCCCTCACTTCTCATATGTGCCACCTTTTGATAAGGGGTAAGAATAACAGGAAAAGATACATCTCAGAAGAGGAACAATCACATCATATAATATCTCCTTTAAATTGTAGGAGCAGAAAGCAGATCTATAGGAGGTAAATTTAAACACTAAAGAGTCAAGTTGAGGGTATAAAGTATGGTTTTCCTAAGTCTTAGGAAAGATTAAACTTGCTGGAAAATTCAGGATTTTATTTAATACTTACTTTCCTTCACTAGGAAATATATACCAGCCAGTTCACTTAACTGGTAACCACTAAGATTGAAGGGGAGTGTGTGTGTAAAAAACAGTAGAGTTGGAAAAGCCAAATGGGAATTTAAATAAACTAGCTGTCAATATTTTTTAAAGACTTTAAGAGGGCAAGAAAAATAAGAAATGTACTACATAAAAACTTTTCAGAAGCCATTCCCTCGCCTTACAGATACATGGAGAAGAGAGTAGTGAGAGAGAGCCAGAAGATCCTGGGCTGTCAGACCACATCCCCTGTATTCCCAGCTCCTCTTCTGGGAAGAGGTCAATCTCTCTCCTGGGTGGAAGACAGGCAGCTAAAAGTGAGGTTCCCTGTCAGGTCCAAGCCTGGTAATCCTTTTTTTTTTTAAGTTTTTTGATTTTTAAAAAAATTTTTTAACTGAAGTATTGTTGATTTACAGCATTGTGTTAGTTTCTGGTGTACAGCATGGTAACTCAGTTATATATACATATTCTTTTTAATTATAGGTTATTACAAGATACTAAATATAGTTCCCCACAGACATGGAAGCAACCTAAATGTCCATCAATAGATGACTAGAGACTAGATAAAGAAGTAGTGGTGTATATATACATATATACACACACATACACAATAGAGTACTACTTAGCCATTTAAAAAAAAAGCCTGGCAATCTTAAGATAGATTGGACAAAGATTCAAATTACTAAAAAAATAAAAGATTAAATATTTATGCTGATAGCCAAAATGCTTTTCAAATAGTTTAAGATTTTTCAACACTACAAAAACAAAGCTCTCAACTTCCTTAGGTAGCTCTTTAAATAACTGACTGTACATACATAATCCAATGCTACCTACTGAAAATGTCTTGTGTCACAGACAGAACAGAACTGCAAAAGTAGAGTAGCGACTGACACATATTAGTTTTAAATTTAAATTAATTAAAATTAAAGAAAATTTAAAATTCAGTCTCTTAGTTTCCCTAATCACATTAAATTTTCAGTAGATGCATACAGCCAAATGGCTACCCTACTGGACAATGCAAATGTTTCACTGTTTAGAAAATGTTATCAGACAGCCCTGATTAGAACCTAGAGGAAATGCTTTAGCAGATACTCATACTAAACAGACTGCTATGACTTTAGTTCTTATGTAAGGATCTCTTATAAAACAAAAGACATCCATAGAGCAGTTCACAGTTCCCAATGCAGATGTACAAAATCTCATCTTCAATTCTAAAAAGAAAATGGGGACAAATACATATGACTTCTATTTTCCCCAATGTTTCTTTTCAAAAGTTGGGTCAAATTTACTTTATATATATATATATATATATATATATGAAGTACATACACACGCACCATAAATAATTTTGCAATAATCTATAATGGAAAAGAATCTGAAAAATAATATATATGTACAACTGTAGTTTGCTATACACCTGAAACATTGTAAATCAATTACATTTCAATTTTTAAAAATGATGTTTAAGATGAAATCTCCTGCAAGGTTTACTCATTATGTACATGAATATATTTGAACAAATTGACAGAATATTGAGTTGATAATAAAGTAGCTATTTGTAGGCTAAGAACTGATTATAGTACAATTAACTTTTTAAATAAGGAAAAGATTTTAAAGGTTAATCTATAAGAAACATTTAAAATATTTCCACGAGGGCCTCTGTGACAGCAACAGTGAGTTATCTATGTCAGGTCATGGGAGGAAAAAAATTCTGTTCTTGGTTTTCTCCCCTTTCTCTAACAAGATCATTCTATGCTTATACGGCAACAACAAATTTTCATTCAAAATGGAAATGAGAGAGTAATGTGGAAAGACTTTTTTTCAGTGTCTCTAAGGATTTTTAAATACCCATTACCTTTACAAATAAATTTCTGTCCTATTATTCAGTCTCTCTTCTCCTTTCTGAAGTTCAGTTCTCTCTATTCTCAATTACTGTTCCACTTTTCAATTTATGTTCTATTGCACTCTTCCTAAAATTCACAATTCGAGAAATCTTTCCCTTCACCTCACTTCTAAACTCAAGATTCTACATAACTATGGTAAACCATATTTATTATCTCAAAGTCACAGCATAACTTTAAATACTTAATTTCATATTTTTCATGTTTTTTAAATATTTGTTAGACTTGCTGATTACAATTCCTTTCAGTGCCCTTACGTGTCCTTCTACTAATAGCAATAAATGTAGAAATTTTACTAATATATTTTACAGTATTAGTTTAAATTTAGTGTAACCTGAATCAATTTTTGCTAATACAAAAGCATTTACCATTCTGAGTTTTTTCAATCAACTTTCGGTCTAAA